GCATTCTTAAAGAGCTTGACATGGTAATAGCTGAGAGGATGTTACCCCTTATGGAAGAGTCTTAGATCCGAGGGCATCTTCTCAGAATATGGGATGCCAATTTAAGACTGAGATGAGGAAGAATTTCTTCTCTGAGGTTTGAAACGCCTTGCCGCAGAGAGCTGTGGGGGCAGAGTCCTTGTGTATATTTAAGGCTGACAAAGATTCTTGATCAGTTAGGGGAAGTAGGTTATGGTGAAAATACAGAAAAGTAGATGTGAGTAATTTTGGATCAGCTATGAGCCTATTGAATGGCTGTTCCTTATGGTCTTAAACTCAGAAGATCTGGTGAAGAGAAAATGGTTAATATTTCGAGTCCATTTCTGAAGAAGAGTCACTGGACTCCACATTTACTGTGCTTTCACAGATGCTGCCAGATCTCCTGAGTTGCTCCATGAAATTTTATTTCTGACTTGATATGTGCATATGAATTTAGAGTTGGAGTAGGTCATTTGGCCCTTGTGCCAACTCTGCCGTTCAGTAAAATCATGGCTGATCTGTTTGTGGTCTCAACTCCCCCTTGTACTTAGACCTGATCCCACATAGTGAAGCACAGGCCCTACAATGGTCTTCGCAAGAGTCAGTTTGAAATTAGTTCTGCAATGTATCTCCTTTGCAGTCATTGTCATCATTATTTTGCATGTCTGACATTGTATTGCTGAACAAAGCATCATGGCTCATTACTTTCAAAGTGGATTTTGGAAGCTGAATTTAGCCGTTCGGCTTGGAAATGTTGAAAAGGTCTTGCTCTCAAGATTGATCCACCTGTTTCGTGGCAAGTCTTTAAAGCTAATAAGCTTCTCTTTTATATATATGTATATAAAAAAAAAATATAAGGCCACATCTGCAAGCATATTTCTTAAGGTTTGAAATATATCACTTCATATTTGTTCATAATTTGCCTATGTATCAGCTCTGTTCGTGTTAATTTTCAGGATTGTACCCAGATTGGCTGATCTTAAACTGGGAAATTGATCATGGTATTGTTGAATAAATGGGTACAGTATGACGTGCTGCAATTTCTAATATATTTAATTTTTCTCTTTTTGTTGTAGGAATCTAAAGCAGTACTAGAAGAATCAGGTACTGAGATGATCGTCTTGTAACTTTCTTAGTAATTATAAAACGTCACCTATTCCACCCCTCCCCCCTCTTATTCTTTCAACACAGTCAGTATCAAGTGTAACAGCATTTGTAGCACTGGTCATTTGAAGAATAGCACAGCTACAGGAAGAATGGAAAACTGAGGTGATCTGTCTTTTTGTATAATTATGCTGCTAAACTTTTATTGCAGAATGACCTTTATGAAGTTTTCAGGCAATTTTAACAGAAATGCTTTTCAGCTTTCAACAGCAGACAGTTTACGTTTGGAAAAGTCTGTGTTTGGTTTAATCAATTCAAAAGTAGTATGTTGGGTTGTTCCTGAGTCTGAAACTGCAACTTGAAAAAATAAGAAATCGCAGGATTCGGCCATTTGGTCCCTTTTAGGCCTGCTGCGCCATTCAACAAGGTCATAGCTTGTAACTTATACGCCTTTGTTCATTATCTGTTACGTGCCTTGACTCCTTTAGTATTCATCTAGTAAGTTCAAATCAGACCTTTACAAAAAGTAAAATATGCAAAACAATTTACATCTATACATATTTTCTTTTTATGACTGGGCTGAAAAATTCCTCCTCCATTATCAATTATTGACTCCTAGAGAGTGAGTCTGAACTGTTCTTATCAATCACTTTGTGCATGTAGCTCAACAGCGTGAGAATATGCTAGCTGCCCAGCCAAGTTGTCATATGTGGAGAATGAGAAAATATAACCTTGAATTGATTGAACAGATTTCCTGGTCTTTAATCTCGCCTAGAAAGAAAATAAAATGTTTGATTCATTTGTGGCACATACCTTGTAATTTTGCAAGACTTGGGTTTAATGAGCTGTCCCATTCTTAACGAGTCTGAATTACCACCTAGCTGCCTTGACTTAACTGTTTCAATTGTGTTGTTGCTGATTCAGATTTGTAGAGAATATAATTAGCATCCCTACCTCTGAGACAAGAGGCCCAAGTTCAAGTCCCACCTGTTCCAGAGGTATGTCATAACGTATCTGAATAGGTTGATTTCAAAAACCGATATGAGACTCAACCTTCTATGTATAGGAGTATACATAGAATATTGAATTAACTTCTCCTAGTTGTACTTCAATCAGCTAACCAGAGTGGTCAAGAAAGAAATAAAAGATCTTGTTTGTAGAAGTGCCTGGGAAAGGAAAAGGCATTTAAGGGGAGCCACTAAGAACACCTTACAACATTGCTTTCTAAATGTGTTCCCATTGTGACCCCATTTTAGTGCTGTAACCCCAGACTTGACAGCTGGATGGGTGGCAAAGGACCTGTGACAGCTAAGAGGTGGACAGAGGATCTAAACTGTTGACAGCAGGGACCAGGGTTTGGGAGAGGATCAGAGACCAATGGAAAGTGGGAGTGGGTATATTGGGAAGAGTGGTGGGCACCTATCAAGCGCATCTACCCTTCACTGGGTTTATCAAGACAGGATTCAGGCCTCAAGGATCAACCAGTTGCACCATGCACACTAGTTTTAAAAAAAACTGCAAAATTTAAAGCAGGCATGTGTTTGTCAGCACTGAGTCATTGCCTCCTTGGAGTTTATGGCCCTAAAATTTCATCTGGCAACCCTACTGGGGGTCATAACCCACAATTTGAGAAGCTCTGTTGTAGGTTTATGCTGTTGATGTTTTGAGCCTGAAACACTGACCTGTTGCTGTTTACTGTGCTTTCGTATGAGTCAAGCAGGTTGTTTTAATCAATATTTAACTTTATTTTTAGAAAAGTCTTCAATTTAAAGTATTCATTGCAGCTGATGCTGTGTTTGCTCAAAGATGAGCAGAGGCTAATCTTATCTACTGTCAGTAGAAGTCAGTTGCGTTGAGTTGAAAGAAATCTTGTACTTATGTAGCACTTTTCAAAACTCAAAGTCTCAAAGCATTTCAGAGCTAGTGAACTACTTTTGAAGGGAATGACTGTTGCCATGTAGAAGCTGTTGCAGCCAATATTTGCACAAATGGCCATGGGCTAAATAGATTCATATAGCTCAGAAAAGATCTTTCGGCCTATCGAGTCTGCACCGATAACTACTACTAAAGGTACGCTAATCCCAATTTCCTGCACTTATCCCATATTCCTGAATGTTATGATATCTCAATTGCACTTTCAAATATTTTTTAAAGGTGGTAGGGTTTCTGGACTCCTCTACCTTCCCAGGCAGTGCATTCCTGTTATGGACCAGACTAAACCCCCTCACAGTATATTAAGATAGTCTAGATCCTAACTGCTACTTGTTTAAAGGTAAGTGTAAGGCATTGTGTTCTGGATTTAATTAGATTGGTCAAACTACTGGGCTTGAAACAACACACACTTTATTTGTACACTATAATTTAAAATACAAACATAATAAAGGTAAAAGACTAGAATTGGCTTAACCGTAACACTCTCAAAATCCTTAACAAAATAATAGCTATATTAACTAATATTAATTAACTGTTTCCGTGTAGTAGCTTCCCATAAACACATCCTTGGCAAAGGCAAATTCAGTAAAATAGATTGTCTCACATGCAATTCTCATAGCATGATAAGAACCCAAGCTTTTAGCTGTAACAGAGAGGAATAAGAGCTTTCAATCCAGCTTCAAGATCTCAGCAATTGCTACTGAAGGCTAAAAGTAAAAACAAAATCTTGGTTCTGTGAGAACTTGACCCCACGCATTCAGGCTGCTGTTGTTGTTCCAACTTTAAAAGTAAAGCCCAAGGCCGCACAAGCTGTTTATTGGCTTTGGAGCAGACTACTTGTCACCTTCACAAAAAAAAGCAGGACAAAATACACCTCTTAAAGCCGTAGTATCGTCACAATTCCAGATTCCCATCACCCGCTGAGTGAAAAAGTTCTTTTCCAAATCCCCTCCGAACCGCCTGCCTCTATGCCCACTCATGATTTACCCCTCAAACAAGGGTGACGACTGTTCTCTATCCACCCTGTCCATACCCCTCATAATTTTTATATACCTCAATCATGTTCCCTCCCTCCTCAGTCTTTTCTGGTCGAAAGAAAACAATTCAAGCTTATCTAGTTCCTCCTTACAGCTCAATTTCTCCATTCCAGGCAATATCCTGGTAAACCCCCTATAGCGCTATCATATCCTTCCTGTAGTGAGGTGACCAGAACTGTACACAGTACTTCAGCTTTGCATGACCAGTGCTCTATACAACTCCAACATTACCTCCTTGCTCTTATACAACATGCCATGACTGATGAAAGCATATGCCTTTGTAATTATCCTACATACCTTTAACTATCCCATATAACTTCTTAATGATCCTATTCACGTAGTCTGCTGACTTCAGGGATCGGTGAATAATTATCCAAAGATCCCTCTGTTCCTCTATGCTACCCGGTGTCATGTCATTCATTAAATACTCCCTAATCTTGTTTCTTCTTCCGAAGTGCATCACCTCTCACTTTTCAGGATTAAATACCATCTACCACTGGTCTCCCATCTGACCAATCCATCTATATCTTCCTGTAGCCTACACCATCTTCGCAGTTAACCACTCTACCAGTCTTGATGATGTCTGCAAATTTGCTTAACATTCCCCCCGTGTTTTCATCTATATCATTTATGTATATAAAAAAAGGGTCCCAGTGCTGATCCTTGTGGTACACCAGTGGACACCAGCCTCCTACTGTTACCCTTTGTGTCCTATTACTAAGCCAGTTTCTGATCCACCTTACCAAGTTTCACTCAATTCCATGTGCTTTAATCTTCTCAAACAGTCACCCATGTGGGACCTTGTCAAAAGCTTTGCTAAAATCCATATAAACCACTTCAACTGAACTTCTCTCATCCACACACTTGATCACATTTTCAAAGAATTCTAACAAATTTGTTATGCGTGACCTCCCTCTGACAAAGCCATGCTGACTATCCGTAATGAACCCATGCCTTTCCAAGTGAGTATTAATTTGGTTCTTCAGAATTTTCTCCAATAGTGAGATTCATTGGTCTGTAATTTCCTGGTTCATCTCTACCACCCCTCTTAAAAAGTGGAACCACATTAGCAGTCCTCCAGTCCCCTGGTACTCTCCCTGTGGCCAGAGAGGAATTAAAAATTTGTGTCAAAGCCCCAGCAATGCTCTGCCTTGCCTTCCACTGCAACTGAGGATGCACTTCATCTAGGTCAAGGTATTTGTTTGTTTTTAAGTCCAACAGAGCCTCTAAGACCTCCCCATTTTCCAATGTCAAACTGGGCAAGTTCCTCACAGTCCCTTTTCCTGACTTCAGTACCTACGTTTTCCTTTTCCAGAGTGAAGACCAAAGAGAAGTATTCATTCAATATACTGCGGCTTCACACACAGGTTGCCCCCCTTGGTCCCTAATGGGCCCTACTCTTTCCTTGGTTAACAGCTTCCCTTTAATGTATGTATAAAATATTTTTGGATTCTCCCTAATCCTATTTATGCCCCCTTTTTGTTCTTCTAATTGCTTTCATAAATTTCCTCCGGCACTTCCAATATTCCTCTAGGGCTGCAGCTGTATTGCTCCTTTTGGACTTGGTAAAAGCTTTTCTCTTCTTCCTCATCCGATCCTGAATTGTCCTAGGCCTTCAGGGTTCTCTGAATTTATTACTCCTACATTTCCCTATAAAGGGGGCATGTTGGACCACTCCCCAGCTCTTTTATGAATGTCCCTCATTGCTCCGCTGTAGATTTACCTGCATGGAGCTGTTCCCAGTCTACTGTGGTCAGATCCTGCTTTATTTTAATAAAATCTACCTTTCCCCAGTCCAAAGCCATCTTTTGCAGGCTGTCTTTTTCCTTGTCCAGAGCAAATTTGAACTGTACTGTGTTGGAGTCGCTATTGCTAAAATGTTCCCCCGCAGCCGCATCGAACACTTGCCTGACTTCTTTCCGTAGAACCAGATCTAGCTCTGCGGCATCGCTTGTTGGGCCTTCTATTTATTGATACAAGAAAACTTCCCTGGACACATTTCAAGAAATCCACCCCCTCTAAACCCTTGACACGATGACTATCCCAATTTATGTTTGGTAAGTTGAAATCCCCTGGTACAATTACCCATATATTACTCTAACACACCTCTGTGAACTGTCTACCTCTATTTCCCTGCTCACTGTTTGGGGGCCTATAATGCACTCCCAGTAAAGTAGCTGCTCCCTTAACATTTCTACGTTCAACCCACAAAGCTTCATTTAAGGACCCTTCCAGGCGTGGCACGGTCGCTCATTGGTTGGCACTGCTGCCTCACAGTGTCAGGGATGCCGATTCGATTCCACCCTCGGGCGACTTTGTGAAATTTTTACATTCTCCCCGTGTCCACATGGGTTTCCTGTGGGTGTTCTGGTTTCCTCCCACAGTCCAAAGATATGCTGGGTATGTGATTAGCCATGGGAAATGCAGGGTTACAGGGATAGGGTAGGGGCGTGCGTCTGCGTGGGATGGTCTTCAGAGGGTTAGTGTGGACTCAATGGACCGAATGGCCAGCTTCCACACTGTAGGGATTCTGTATCATCTCTCCCTCTTGAATCCTTAATTAATAGAACTACACCGCCACTCTTTTTATACTCGCCTCTGTCTCACCTAAAGTTCCTATACCCCAGAGTGTTGACTCGATAGTCGTGCCCTTCCCACAACCATGTTTCTCTAATGGCAACAATATCATGCTTCCAAGTGTCAATCCACACCATTAGCTCATCAGTCTTATCTATTACACTCCTAGCATTAAAGACCATACAGCCTTGCCTTACTCTCTTGAGACTTAACATAATGGAATTTCTGTGACTTGCTTCCTTTGCTGTAGCCTAATCTCTCTGTTTCATCGATATTCTGTGTACCCTCCCCCTGCCAGACTAGTAAACTCCTCTCAACAGCACTAACTAATCTACTTGCAGGATGCTGGTCCCAGTGTGATTTAGATGCAGACTGTCCTGTTTGTACATGTCCCACCTTCCCCAAAAACTGTCCCAGTGATCTAGGAACCTAAATCTCTCCCTCTTGCACCAACTCTTGAGCTACGCATTCATCTGCCCTGTCTTCCTGTTCCTATACGTGCTAGCACGTGGCACCGGGAGTAATCCAGAGAACATTAAGGTCATGTTTTTTAATCTATTGCTTAGTTCCCTGAATTTTTGATGCAAGACCTCATTCCTCACTTTGCCCATATCATTGGTGCCAACAGGTTATACTGTTGTATTTCACCCTCCCCTTTCAGGATGCACTGTGGCCATTCAGTGACCTCCCTAACCCTGGCGCCAGGGAGGCGCACATGCTCCTGGAGTGATGTCTTCAGCCGCTGAAACGTTTGTCTGCTTCCTTGACTAAAGAATCTCCTATCACTATTGCTCTTTCTTTCTTCTTTCTACCCTACAACCCGCCACCCCCCAAAAAAAAGCCCACCACCACCACCACACCCACACAGATATTTACATGCTGAATCTTGGCTCTGATTCCTCCAAGGTACCAGCACCCTCAGCTTCCAAAATTGAATACCAGCTAGTGAGTGGGTCCCCTGGGGACTCCTGCACTACCTGCTTGATCATTCTGGACTGTCTGATGGTCACCCATTCCCTTTTTCCCTCTGGACTCTTGAGCTGTAGTGTGACTACTTCAGTTACGTGCTGTCCATGTAACTTTCAGCCTCACAATGTGCCTCAATGTTTCTAACCATTGCTCAACCTCCAAGACCTGGAGCTCCGACTTCTGTAGCTGGGAGCACTCCCTGCACGTGTGGTCATCTGGGACACTGGCAGCATCCAGCACTCCACACATATGGCAAGCTACACATTCCACTCGACTGGCCTCTCCTAAATTTAACACTTAACGCATTAGGCTAGAATTATTTGACTTATTTTGTTAGACTTCCCACTCCATCACTAAGGTAATAAAAAGTTTAACTGTAACTAAGTTCTCACTGCTCTGAATCTGTAGGATAAGAAAGCGTTAACCAATAATTGTCAGGTGCCCGGTACTCAACAGATTTATTTGATGATGTTGTTTAGGACTTAACAAGTAGTGACATGTGATACTTAATTCCCTCTCAGATGGCAAATGGAGCTATTGTTTAATGTCACCTCCAACAATCCAGCACACTCTCGAGACGACACAGGAGCTTCAGACAGGACTATGTGATCAAGTCTCTGGAGTTGGACTTGAATTCAAAATCTCCTGATTCGGAGAAAAGAGTGCTACCCCACAGAGCCAAATCTGTAACAAGTTTTGGCTACTTCCAGCACCAGAACTTCCATTCTGTGCTTTCCTCAAGATGTGATCAAAACTAGAAGCAAAAGTCCAAACAGAAAATGTCTGGTTAAGAAATTTTGTGACCAGTTGGAGTGGGAAAAACAAAATTGGTACCTTGGCTCTGAGGGACAAGAGAAGTTCATACCAGTGGTTCAGCTTGGTCTATAGGCTAACTGCAAGGGGAGGAAACTATTAGTGGTGATCATGCTTCAGCCATGGTTTATCCAGACTGTAGTCTTGAGTACTAGAGCAATTTCAAACACTTGACCAGTTGTGCTTTCAGTTACAGATTTGATGGTGTGTAAGTATGCAAAACTGCAGAAACCATACTGAATGGGTAATGATGTTTTGAGAAAACATATAAAACAGTGAACTAATTTGTTAGCTAACTTATTGGAAGGGTGTTGTTGCATAAGACGGTAAGGAAATGATGTGGTTTGAAGTCAAATCTTTGCATTTCGTGTGCATGTAGTACTAACACAAATGTTCTGTTGAAGAACTGAAGAGTTGGGACAGGTAAACTGCAATTGTAAAATGCTGTCATGCATGTTACACTTGATATATATTGGAGAATCATTTGTTTCATAATGAACTTGTTAGCATAGAAGTAAGATATATGAGGAGTTAAAATGTTGAATCTCTGGAATCTCATTCCAGACATTCCATTTTAGCCAACAGGGATTGAATGAATGTTTCTGAGCCATTTGAAGCACTCCTGTTGACATCTGGAGCAAATATCATGTTACTTTGTGGCACTATGGATGAATGAGTAGAAAGGAATATCTATTTCATGATCTTTGATATTCCCTCAGTTTTCCAATCTCCGAATGGATTCGAGGGTAGGGGAACATAGTAGCTCCACGTGTATACTTGCTATATATGTTGTAATTAAAACTTGTGCTGTTCTATTCCATTAATCCCATAGAAAAGGAGAATGTAGCTGAGAATTCGGGGGAAGCTTATAGTTCAGTTCCCACAGAGGAGAAGCCCCCTGAAGATCCACAGCTATTGATGCAATATATGATTGATATGGATGCCTATCAGAAAGAAGAGGAAAATACAACCCTAACCAAGGGGCAAGTGGAGGACAATACGTTGGACGTAGATAGTACAATGCATGTGGAAGGACCCAAGATGGAGGACTATAAACAACCTGCCAAGGAAATGTTGGACACTGAGAAGATGGATAAAACTGAAAGTATGAGCAAGATGGAAAGTTGCCAGCAGGTGTGTGAGACTGGACAGTCAGAGGCTGAGCATCCTGTGAAAGAACCACAACCTGGACCCATGGAATGCAAAGACAGTGCAATGAAACCAGAAGATGAAGGTTCTGACAAAGCAGCTAAGAAAGAACCTTCGATTGTAGAGGGCAGTGATCAGAAGAGGTTTGTTGTTTCTTAGTTTTAGACAAGATTTTCATTCATGCTAAGATGATTCCAGTAAGCTTGCCTCATGAACTGTCCTGCGCAGTGGTGGTAATTTTAAACCTGATTTATTTTCATTTAAAAGCTATTATATCTTATCCCCGTACCATTAGAGGCTGCTTTTGTTTATTCTTTGCACTCTCCTCCAACCTGCAAAGATGCTTACAAATGGGGATTTTGCTCTGCGTACACTCTTCAATGATGGTAACAAAATATAATTGAGATGGTTCTTTATAGTTTATAGCTGGGTCCGAAGCATCATTGATGTTTGCTTCTGAAAACCGCATGTTAGTAAGCGTTTTGTTCACATTGATGTAGAGCTGTTGGTAGCTAGAATACTGGGTAGGTATTGGAAAATTATCTCCGTAGATTGAATAGAAATGCTGCTGTTTCATGACTTTTTTGAAACTATTTATTAGTTTTTAAATAACTAACAAAATCCAAATTTGTGTCTTTAGCTCTGAGGATGCAAACGATTCTAAGAATGTGGCAAATCAAGAGAAAGGTACGTCATAGACCATAAATACAATCTAAGTGTTTTATGATTCTGGCTGATGGTATTATGAGACAACTCAGATTCCAGAACAAAACGTGACTTGATCATAAATCTTAAGTTTGCAGTTGGTTACCATGCTGATTAGACACTGAACATAGTCACACAAGACTGTCAAGATTTTTTAAACCCAAGAATGTATGCTTAACACACAAAAAATACTCTCAAAAGAGTCAGTTTAAAAAGATCTTGACTACAACAACAAATATTCAACCAGTTTCTCATCAGTACTTAATCCTGGAGAAATAGTGTTTTATTTGCTGACCCAACTTTCCAGTTTTTCTTCTTGAACTGATGAAACATCTTTCTTTCCAATTCTGGTGCCCTTGATCCCTTTTCAGTTCTGACAGCTTGAAAACCTGTATACAACCTCTCACAGCTTGGAGACTTATCAAACGAACTTGCACTTTTGCTATGGTGAAACTGTTTTCCTGCTAGCATGAAGTTGAAACCTGATTTTTCTGAACAGAAATCAAACTGAAGTACTGGTGTTCCAATGTTATTTGTTTTCTGTATGTTTTTTTAAATTCATTCATGGGGTGAGGGCATTGCTGGCCAGGCAGCATTTATTTCCCATCCCTAATTGCCCAGAGGGCAGTTAAGAGTCAACCACATTGCTGTGGGTCTGGAGTCACATGTAGGCCAGACCAGGCAAGGATGACCGTTTCCTTCCCTAAAGGACATTAATAAACCAGATAAGTTTTTCTGACAATCGATGATGGATTCATGGTCATCATAAGACTTAGAGATTTTGTTTGCTTTTAATTCAAATTCCATCATCTGCCATGGCAGGATTCGAACCTGGGTCTCTGGATTAACAGTCCAGTGATAATACCACTAGGCCATCACCTCCCCCATAACTTAACAGTATAAATGCATTATCAATGAATTCTACAGGTATATAAATAAAATAAAGAACTGTGGCTGTTGAAATCGGAGACGTAAACAAAGTGCTTGAGAGCCTCACTAGGTCTAGCTGCATTTGTGGAGAGAGAAAGAGTTAACATTTCACGTCGAGTTTGTCTGATTCCAAGGATATCTGGCTAGGCACTTAAGTCATACGCTTTCTTGAAAGTAATATATTAAAACCTACTTCTCCAAATGACTTCCTGCCCTCTGACTCCATCTATGGTCTAACTTCTTATATCTGCGACAGTGAGTTCTATCCATTTGTATTCAGCTCCTTTTGACATAAAGGCCATCATTCTAATCTGTACCTGTTCATCAAATTTTAATTTTCTCTCAATTGGCACTCAAGTCTCACTGTTTCTAGCTTACTCTTTCTTGAGATGTTGGAGTCTTTGGTAAGTTTAGCATTTGATCTCCATAGAATCCTAGAATGGTACAGTACAGCAAAGGCTTTTTAGCCTATCGATCTATACTACCAAATATTTCTACTACTACCAACACTAGTCCCTGTATTTCGCTGTATTAGGCTAAGAACCTTGAATGCGATGACACTTCAAGTGTTCATCCAGTTACTTTTTAAACATTGTGAGCTTTCCCTCTTCAATTGCCCTGCCAAGCAGTTCATTCTAGACCCCCCACCACCACCTGGGTGGAAAGGGTTTTCCTCAAATCCCCTCTAAATTGTCTGTTGCTTTAAAATTATGTCCCTTTCTTACTGACCCTTTAACTGAGGGGATCAGCTGTTTTCTATTCACCCTGTTCATACCCCTCATAATCTTATGCACCTCTACCAGGTACCCCCCTCCACCTTTTGTGCTCAAAAAAAAACAGAGCTTATCCAGCCTCTCTCTGTAGCTGAAATGCTCTACCTCGGGCAACATCCTGGTGAATCTCCTTTGTACCCCTTTCAGTACCATAATATCTTTCATATAATTTGATGACCAAACAGTGCTCCAGCTGTAGCCTAACCAAACGTCTGTACTGCTCCACATAACCTCCCAACTCTTGTAATCTGTGCCTCAACTGATGAAGGTAACCTATCCTGTCACCTTTAGGGATCTGTGGACAAGCACCCCAAGATCTCTCTGTTCCTGAGCTCCCTAGTGTCTTGACATTTATTGAGTACTGACTCATCTTGTTCGTTCTTCCAAAGTACATCACCCCCTATTTATCAGGATTAAATTCCACCCGCCATTGACCTGCCCATCTGAATCCTTTATTTTCTCCTGTAGCCTAAGACCTTGTTCCTCACTGATCATCACCCAGCCAAGCTTTGTGTCATCCGCAAACCTACTTATCATCCCTCCCACGTTCTCATCTACATCATTTATGAATATCACAATAAGGGACCCAGCACTGATCCCTGTAATATGCCGCGTCACAGAGCTCCAGTCAATCAACAGCCTTCTACCATCACCTTGTGTCTCCTGTCATAAAGTCAAGTTTGGATACAGCTTGCTAGGTTTGCCTGAATTCCTTGAACTTTTAACTTCTTCACCGGTTTCCCATGTGGGACCTCGTCAAGGGCCATGCTTAAATCCATGCAAACTACGTCAACTGTCTGACCTCATTCAGATTTGTTAGGCATGACCTCCTGACAAAGCCATGATGACTATCTCTGATCAAAACTTGCCTCTGTCAATGGAGATTAATTTATAGAGTCATAGAGTCATACAGCATGGAAACAGACCCTTTGGTCCAACTCGCCCATGCTGACCAAGTTTCCCAAACTAAACTAATTCGATTTGCCTGCATTTTGCCCAAAACCCTAAACCTTTCCTATTCACGTACCTGCCCAAATTTGGCATTCGCACAAGGACGCCATACCCCTTACATTATAGGAAATATTCTGTTGTATACTAGACTGAGGTAGTGACCTTGCATTTTCTCTGAATTTAAATCCAATAACCACTTTATCCTTAATGCTAGTATTTCAATCTGTATCACTGCAGTAGTTTTTTTTTTAAACTGTATTTTGGAGAGTGGTGGAGTTGGATTTCAAAGGAGAGTTGGATATATATTTGAAAGTGATAAATTGAGGGCTGCAGAGATGGGAGTGGAGAATGGGACTATAGCTGGGTAGATCTGTGGGGAGCTGGACGATGGGGCGAATGGTCACCTGTTGCATGGTAAAATATTCTGTTATTCTGTAATTTCATGGGTGGATGATTTTTGGGTCTGGGCCATGCTCCCATTTTCCCGACACAACTGAGCTTCACGATGTTGATTGATTTGAAGCTCTGGTCAGAATTATGGTGCCGTTCTCTGGGTAAATAAAGCACAGCATTCGGTCCCAGGTTTTTGTTTGTTTGAGTGGATGTTTAACATTGTAGAAGATTCCTTCCCTGTATTGTCAATCTTAGATTTCTTTGGTTCAGAAGTAGATGTAGTTGGAGGGAGCAAGCATCTCAATAATAAAGTATTACAATTTCTGCACAAATATCTTTATGTATGAGAGAAAATGCCAGTTTTGTACTCTTAATGTTTCATATTTCTTTTGTTATATTTCCTTGCTAAGTAATTGTTAATGAGAATTATTCTGCAATTTAGGAAGAGCTTTGGACATTCCAAAGAATCTTTGGGTGAGTGGCCTGTCCTCCACGACAAGAGCAACTGACTTGAAGAACCTCTTCAGTAAATATGGCAAGGTGAGAATGTGTCCTGATCTTCTTATTGGGAAAGTGTGGGCTGGAAGAACTATAATTGTATAGTAACAGTTCTGAGGAGGGGTCACTGGACCCAAAACGTTAATTCTGTTTTTTCCTTCACAAATGCTGCCAGACCTGTTGAGCTTTTCCAGCAACTTTGTTTTTGTTCCTGATTTACAGCATCCGCAGTTCTTTTGGTTTTTATAATTGTATAGTGTTTTACCATATTCTCAAGATGCCTTAAAGTGGTCCACAACCAGTTGGATGCTATTATGTCTTGTCGTTATTTTCTGTCTTCCTTATGTTAGAAGTAATCACACTTTGATTTTGGAAAGATTAGAGGTGTTTATGTTTATTACAGTTGCTGTTTTGCCTGGTATGAGGACTGCTCTGGATTGGTATTCTGTTACCTGTGACAACTCTCCACGACAGCTGTGAATGTTGTCCCGGGAAGATTTGAACACACCAATTGGTCCCTGGCTAATTAACTCCTCTTCACAGACAATACGATAGTGTATAATACATACACTTTTGAAATGGAGTTATTGCTACATAAGCACATGTAGCAACCAATTAGCAAAATTTGACAAACGACAAAACAGATGCATGATCAGTTCTGAAGAAGGGTCCTGACCTGAAACGTCGACTTCCCTACACCTCTGGCGCTGCCTGACCTGCTTGTGTTCCTCCAGCTCCACACTGTGTTGTGTCTGCATGATACACTATTCTGGCTTGTATCATTGATAGCCGCAGGTGGGGTGCTGGAAGACTGGAGTTTGGCTAACATAGTGCCACTATTTAAGAAAGGTAGTAAGGAAAAGCCAGGGAACTATAGATTGGTGAACCTGACATTGTTGGTGGATGAGTTGTTGGAGGGAATCCTGAGGGATAGAATTTACATGTATTTGGAAAGGCAAGGACTTATTAGGGATGGTCAACATGGCTTTGTGCATGGGAGATCTTGTCTCACTAACTTGATTGAGTTTTTTGAAGAAGTAACGAAGAGGATTGATGAAGGCAGAGCAGGGGATGTGATCTGTATGGATTTTGGTAAGGCGTTCCATAAGGTTCCTCATGGTAGACTGGTTAGTAAGGGTAGATCACACGGAATAGAGGAAGAACTAGCTATTTGGATATAGAACTGACTCAAAGGTAAAAAGACAGAGGGTGATGGTGGAGGATTGCTTTTCAGACTGGAGGCCTGTGACCAGCGGTGTGCCACAAGGATTGGTGCTGGGTCTGCTGTTTTTCATCATTTATATAAATGATTTGGATGCGGACGTAGGAGGTATCATTAGTAAGTTTGCAAATGACACCAAAATTGGAAGTGTAGTAGACAGCGAAGAAGGTTACCTCAGAGTAGAGCAGGATCTTGCTCACATGAGTCATTGGGCCGAGGAGTGGCAGATGGAGTTTAATTTAGATAAATGTGAGGTGCTGTATTTTGGAAAGGCAAATCAGGACTGGACTTAAACACTTAATGGTAAGGTCCTCGGGAGTGTTGCTGAACAAAGAGATGTTGGAGTGCAGGTTCATAGCTCCTTGAAAGTAGAGTCACGGGTAGGTAGGATAGTGAGGAAGGCATTTGGTATCCTTGCCTTTATTGGCTAGTGCATTGAGTATAGGAATTGGGAGGTCATCTTGCGGGTGTACAGGACATTGTTAGGCCACTATTGGAAAACTGTGTGCAATTCAGGTCTCCCTGCTATAGGAAGGATTTACAAGGATGTTGCCAGGGTTGGAGGGTTTGAGCTATAGGGAGAAGCCGAATAGTCTGGGGCTATTTTCCCTGGAGCGTTGGAGGCTGAGGAGTGACCTTACAGAGGTTTATATAATCATGAGGGGCATGGATAGTGTAAATAGATAAGGTCTTTTCTTTGGGATGGGGAGTCCAAAACTAAAGGGCATAGGTTTGAGGTGAGAAGGGAAAGATTTAAAAGGGAGCTAAGGGGTAACTTTCTCATGCGGAGGATATTGCGTGTATGGAACATGCTGCCAGAGGAAGTGGGGGAGGCTGGTACAGTTACAACATTTTAAGAGGCATCTGGCTGGTATGTGAATAGGAAAGGTTTAGAGGGATATGGGCCAAATGCTGGCAAATGGGACTAGATTTATTTATACATCTGTTTGGCATGGATGGGGTGGACTGAAGGGTCTGTTTCCGTGCAGTATATCTCTGTTATTTGTTGGTTTTCGTATGGTGCCTGGAATATCTATGCCCAGCTGAACAGTTAGTTAAAGAGTGCTTCCAGCAAAGCAGTACTTTCTAGTTATGACAGCAAAGCATCAACCTAGCATGTGCTTACATCCTTAAGTAAGGCTTCAACCACAACTTTGTGAAGCATGAGTGTGTACATTCCACTGTTAAGCAGATACTTAATGATCTCTATCTATTCACAATCCATCTGAGCTGAAAGATCCAAATGAGAGGGAAAAGAGGAGGAACAGTGTGGCACTGTAGCTGTACAAAATGTTTATTCAAAGGTAACTTATGCTTAAAATTTGTTATTTTGTAAACACTGCTCTTTCAGTAGTATAGTCTCAATGAGGAATGAACACCGACAGCTGGCAATCTGAAAAAAGCTGAATGACAAAACAGGATGCTGCAGAAACTGAAAATAAAATAGGAGAGTATGTAAAAACCCTGGTCTAGCAGCATGTGCAGAGAGAGAGAGAGAGAGAAAGAGAAGTTAATATGATTCTTCTTGACAATTGAAGAATCTCCCTGTATCTGCGTGGGTTTCCTCCTACAGTCCAAAGGAGTGTAGTTCAGGTGGATTGGCCCATAGTGTCCAGGGATGTATAGGTTAGGTGGATTAGCCATGGGAAATGCAGGGTTGCAGCAATGGGCAGGGGAGTGGGTCTGGGTTGAATGCTGTTCGGAGAGTTGGTGTGGATTTGTTGGGCCTGTTTCTACTCTGTAAGGATTCTATGATGGGTTTTATGACGTTGAATGAGGGAGAAAGGGGGAGTGGGGAAGAAAACGTGAAGTTGGGACATGTTAGAGGATGGGGTATATGAGAGATCAAAGTATATAGAATAAAAGACTCCAACAGGATTAGTAATGGCTGTAGAGAAAGAAACAAAGCATTGGTTCAGAGTGGGTGTTAATAATATAATCAAGGTCAGCTCAAAGAAAAAACAAACAAAAGAATGAAAAGAAGATAACCATATGGGAGTAACAAAAATATCAGTGGAGGACAGCGTTTATGGTCTGAAGTGTTAACCTCATTGTTCAGCTAGAAAACTGTGAAGTACTGCATTGGAAAAGAAGGTGCTGTTCCTCCTGCTTGCATTGAGCTTCACCGTCACGCTGCAGCAGGCCTAGGCCAGAAATGCAGGCATGAGGGCAAATGAAATGGCAAGAGACCAAAAGTTTGTGGTCAGGCCTGCTGACTGAGTAGATGTGTTATGCAAAACAGTCACACTATTTTTCTGAGAATTATCAGATCAGCAGTGATCTCATTGAATGGTGGAGCAGACTTGATGAGCTGAATTGCATGTTTCTACAGTGTCTCCTATGTACATATAGAAAAGGGTACACAGAATCCCTATACGTGGAAGCGGGCCACTTGACCCAACATATTCATGCTGACCCTCTGAAGAACAGCCCTCCCTCCTGGTCCCTGGCATTATGAGGCAGTAGCCACTGTGCTGCCTTAATTGCATTGTGAGTAGTCAATATTGTAGACTAGATTGACAAGTACAAATAAATTACTGCTTCACCCTGGAAGAAATGTTTGGGGCCTTTTGTCAGGGAGGAGTGTAAATGACAAGTGTTGTTTTTCCTATAATTCCATGTGGGAAGGGGAATGATACTTTTGGAATGCTACCTAGGGAAGGGAGGAGAAGATAGGTTGGTGGCAACTGGTGAATATGGTGAAGGATGAGCTTTGAATATGATAGCAGATGGAATGGAAAATGAATTCAAGAGGAACATGTTATGGTTCTGGGAGAAAGGTATGAGATTAGAAGAGTGGGAAATGGGTCAGATTCTGTTGAAGGCTATTAGCTAGAGTGGGGAGGAATTTTTAGGTGAAGAAAAATGGAAGACTTATGTTGGAAGTGGCATTTCTGAAAGAAGCATCATCGGAACAATCCACCCCATTGCAGTCCTTACAGGATGCAGTGTGAGAGGAAGTGTAGCTCTGAGCATGTTATTTCTAGTAGAAAGCTTATCCCCAGAAATGGAGACAAAGAAGTTGGGAAAGGGAAAAGTGAGAGATGAATGGCTAATTGGAATGAAAACTGTATGTAATCTAATATTGTTAGCAGTGGTTCGAAGGACTGCAATGTATTGTAGGACTGAATTGTGTATTGCTTCTCACTTAGAATCGTAGACTCCGTACAATGCAGATAGAGGCCATTTGGCCCATTGAGTCTGCATCAACTCTCCAAAGAGCATCCCACCCTATCCCCATAACCCCACATGTACGAATAGTTAACCCACCTAATCTGCACATCTATGAACAATGTGGGGCAATTTAACATGGTCAATGCACCTTTGGACTTGTTTCTTAGGGATATAATAAAGTCCCTTTGAGTCATATTAAAATGAATGGCGGGGGATTTTGCTGTTGAGAACTGTGCAGTAATGTTACAAATAATCTAAACAGGGAAACTGGATACTTAGCAAAATTAAAAGTGAATGCTTTCTTTGATATGGCATTATAAAAATTTAGATTTGTCAAACTTCAGTCTCTATTCTTTTAAAATGGGGTTGCAGCTGTATTTGTTTACATTGGTTGTGTCAACTGTTTAAAGAAATTTGCTATTTGCTTTTCATAAAATATTAACTTGCAGGTAAACATTTAACCAGCCAAAATGACTTGATTTCACAGCATTTCCTTAGAAAATATTGTCAGTGCATTCTGTCTTTGATCATTTTTACACAGGTGATTTGTGCCAAAGTAGTAACTGATGCTCGTAATCCTGGTGCACGCTGCTATGGATTCATAACCATGTTGACACCGGAAGAGGCAACAGAAAGCATCAATGCCCTGAATCAGTCTGAACTAAATGGACAAACTATCACTGTAGAACTGGTGAGAACAAAGAAAGTACTAAGGGGAACAGCTAACAAGTATATTTAGATTTTTAATTTGGTGCATGTTGTGTACGGCTTTAAAGAAGTTCCTGTATCTCTGTGTGTATGTGATTTCTGGAAAGGCACACTCTGGTTTTTCACTAGGTTCTCATTTATTCTGGCATCTTCATACACCAGTTCAAATTACTTGAGAGCAAACCAGGTGCTAAATACCCATACAAATCTGCATGTTAATACTTTTTATACTGTATGATGACAGACATGACTTCCTGATCCCTGGGCCAATTCTATTGCATCGATTAACTCCCATCTCTTGAATTGAATTGAGTTAGCTTTGTTGTCATATCTTTAAAAATTGGGATTTTTGATATTTTCTTTGAAGCTAGCTGAGTTCCTTTTCAGCTTTGTGTACGTTATCTGGAGTTGTAGTTTTAGCTGAATTTAGCAGAACATAGCCAGTCACTATAATTATCTCTTTACAGGCTTGATTTAAAAAAAAAAGGTTTTATTCAGAAAATTTAGTCAAAGAATGAAATGCTCAAATTTTTTGTATTTGTAAGTTTAAATCAAAAAGAATATTATTGAAATGGAAAGACCCTGCAGAATACTCTTTATAAAGGGGGATCTTAGTGTGCTTGTACATGAATCTTGAAAGATCAGCTTGCAGGTACATCAAGTAATTTGGAAGCTAAATGGAGCATTGGCCTTCATTGGAAAGACTACATCTAGAGTACTCCGTACAGTTTTAGTCTTCTTACTTAAGGAATACACTAAAATGAACATTTCAGAGACTGCTCATTGGATTGAAAAGATTAGACTTCTCAAAATATTGAGCAGGTTAGGCCTGTACTCATTGGAATTTAAAAGAACGTGAGGTGATCTCTTTGAATCAGCTAAAATTGACAGGATTGATGCTGAGAGGATGTTTCTTCATGGAGGCAAATCTAGAACTGAGGGGCAAAGTTGAAAAATAAGTAGTCTCCCACTTCAGATAGAGATGAAGAGTAATTTCTATTGACTGTTGTTGTACTTTGAAATTGAGAGCAGTTGAGACAGTCGTTGAATATAATAAAGACTGAGGTGGGCAGATTATTGAAGAGAGATTCCAAAGAGAGTTTAGGGATATGGTGGCAGGCAGGAACTGGAGTTCAGATCACAAGAACATAACCATGATCATGTAGCTCAGTAGGTTTGAGGGGCAGAATGACCTTCTATTCCTATTAATTTGGCCTTTGGAACCAGGGAGGTAAATTCCTGTATGTCACACAGCTCATTGCAGCTTTTCTGTCGAAATAAAGCAGCACCCAACTGTTGTGTTAATTGGGGTGAACAACCAAGAAATTCAGCTCTGCTGAGTTACAGTATTGTGACAGGATGTCTGTTTAAAGAATCGAGATTATTTAAATTCATATAGTTTTTTTTTTTAAAAAGAGCAGTAGTGTTATTTTCTGCACCTTCCATGTTCAGCAATTGGAATAAAGTATCCACAATTTATGTATACTTGACATAGACTGGATTGCAAAGATTTTGATGAAATATTAATTCCTTAAGTGGTGAAAGCAAAGATTGCAAACATGACCTTTGTATCTCAGTTTTAAAAAAACAACATGGTATACCCATTCTCATGTGCTGTTTGGGCTGAAGAAATCACAGAAAGACACAGATATTTCAGGAACAGCTAAATACTGATTAATATTGGCAGATGGAAGGGAAATGGCATGGACAAATGGGGACCAAGTAATATGTTGGATATGCCATTTAATTTGCAGAGATTATTGGGTCCTTTTAGGAACAGGAGTAATATCAGTGATATGTGATTAAAACGCACTGAAGCACAAGTTCCTTGAAAATACAAAGTGCTGTTTGTGTTTGCAGGCCAAAAGTGAACCTGGATGTAAGAAGCGTACAGAGCAGAAGGTGGGAAATGTGAAGAAAGTCTCCAGACAAAGTTCCAGCCGAAGAAGTGAGAATGATGGAGATCAGTCAAGAGATAAGTAAGTGCCTCTACTGAAGACTATGCTGCAGTATTACCAGGGAGCATTGTGCTGCAGAAGTTTTGATAGTTATCCCTCACTTTTATCCTTCACTGCTTTTAAAAGGACTCGTCTGTTGTCAGAGGCTATTTAACTTTAAAATGTTTGCATAATGTGACCTTTGATAAGATCATGTAATTTTCTTCTGAGCCCATGCTGTGTAGGAACAGCACGTTCTGACTAGTGCTTACTTCTTTAATTTATTATAAGGCTGCTAGATTGTTACGACTGTCCAGTTAGAAAGTTTTCCTAGAAATCTTCATTCCAGGTGGTTGTTGCAGTTTCTTACATTTCCAATTCAGAATTGTCCTCATCTTGACTTGCTTTGAAGGCAGTTGAGATCAATAGAATCTCAATTGTTTCTTCACCTGAAGAAGGTGTTCTTGATTTCTAAGGAACTGTTAACATCTTCAGTAACTAACTCAGCTTACAGACCAGGAAGTTCTGAGATTTGTTTCCTCATTTAGTTACTATTTCTAGCCATAATGCCAGAGTATTAGAAATAGCCATTTTATATTGTTTTGGAGGAGATGCATCACGTTAAATGCATGCACCTCATTACTCAACAGGTTCTTTAGAAATCCCACTCACCAATCTCTGCTCTCCTGGTTTATATTGGCCATTCTGGCCTAAATGTTAAAATTTTTGTCCTACTTTTCAAACTGCTGTAAAATCTTGCATCTCCCCACCAATAGCCTTCTACTAAATGTAAATACCTGTGAATATGTATGCTGTGTACGTGTGGCACACCTAAACATATTTGCTTTCCTTTTATTTTGAAAACAAAAACAATTTCTTGAAAAGGTACTTCCTAGTGGACAACAATCCATAGCCAGTCAGGTTGAGCACTTACGAAAACAGTATAATTACTGATGATTTCCACTTCAAATACCTGCAATGGGACATCGTCTGACATTCCCTGCAAACTTGTCAGTTTGTAGGACACCTAGTTCGCAAACCTGAGTAGCTTCCTACTGAATGTGGAGATTTCAAATGGCTGACTGTAACAAAAGTGGAAAACAAGTCCTATATCTAAGGTATCCCCTGCAAAGGACTATATTTCTATATAAACTTGCAAATATGGCCTGCCTCTTGAACTCTTCATAGAATCTCTGTGGATGAAGGCCACTTGGCCATCAAGTTCACACCGACCGTCCAAAAAGCATTCCACCCAGGCCCATCCCCTACCCTATAACCCTGCATTTACATTGCTAATCCACCTAACCTGCACATCCCTGGACACTACATAGCAATTTAGCATGGTCAATCCACCTAGTCAGCCCACCTTTGGACTGTGGGTGGAAATCAGAGCACTCAGAGGAAACCCATGCAAGAAACAGGGAGTATGTGCAAACTCCACACAGACAGTTATTCAATGGTGGAATTGAACCCAGGTCACTGCCCATGTGAGCCGGTAGTGCTAAACACTAAGCCCCCATGCCACATCATGGAAGATGCAAATTTGGACTCAGTAATATAGCTAAAAGCCAGATGCCTGGATTTCGTTTTCATAGAATCATAGAAAGGATCATAGAATCCGTACAGTGTGGAAATAGGCCCTTTGGCCCAACAAGTCCACACCGCTGCTCAGAGCATCCCACCCAGATCCATCCCTCATAACCCACCTAATCTACACATCCCTGAACATTATGGGCAATTTAGTATGGCCAATCCACCTAGCCTGCACATCTTTGGACTGTGGGAGGAAACCAGAGCATCCAGAAGAAACCCACGCTGACACGGGGAGAATGTGCAAACTCCACACATACAGTCGCCTGAGGGTGGAATCGAACCCAGGTCCCTGGTGCTGTGAGGCAGCAATGCTAACCACAGCCACTGTGGTTTTTCTGATTCTTGTGTTGGAAAGTTTTATTTCTGCCCCAAATAGATCCACTGCAAATAATTGCGAGGCTTCTGAAAATAAAAGTTTCGTTATGAAATATTCCATAGTTTTTCTCCTCAAGATGATAAGGGATTCTTTGCCAGTTTTATCCCATAAATGTCAAATGTGCAGCAGTGGGTACAATGGAATCAGGTGAAACCTGGTATCATTCATGTAGACTTAATTTAAAGGAATGCTGTGATTGATGAGGGAGGACGATTCAGAAATGCACCAAGCCAGCAGGTTAGTCCTGTATGTTAAAAAGTGAATGAGTGAAATTGATGCTGACAGCACCCACCCATCCCTACTCCATGGCACAAGGTCAAATTAATACAGAAGGTTTTGCCTACCACTCACTTGAATGTACTATTTTTAGCTGGGAAACTACACTGCCATTGTTCTTCACTCAGTGTTTATAGCTTAATGTAAATCAGGAATTTTCAGGCATTGTCCTTCTGCCACTGAATTATAAATAATTTTGCAGTATTGCATATTAAATAGTGTTCTGCCTTTACATAGTAGATTGACTAGGAGGATGTACATCATATATCTGTTGATAAGAATTGTTCAAATAATTTAATTCTAATTCAGGTCATCTATCAATGGCAAAAAAGATGATAGAAAAGGCAGCCAAGGAGATTCCAAGAAACAGGACGATGATAGAAGAAAAGACAGAAGGAGAGAAGGGAATGCTGGTGGACACAGATCACACTCAAGTAAGGGAGACTAAGCAAAATGTGCATGGCGAAATTCGGCTGTGTATCGCATTAACACACTTAACATCCTTTCACTTTAATTGAAGTTGAAACTCTATTGATTTACTGCTTGGAAAAGTCATTAATAAAGCTTGAGTAGGTCATTCACACCGTCTAACCATCGATTTAGGTTATTAACTGATCTGTACCTCAAACTTCATTCCCAGTGTTGATTCCACATCTGATAGCTTCAATGGAAAAGAATTCTGTTGATCTCAGTCTCAGGTGTCATTTGACCAAGCATCCACAGCTTTTATCGAGGGACGGGTGTTAAAATAAAAGTTTCGGATATTCAGTACCCTTTGTTGTGTCATTGCACTGACAATTGAGCTTCACTGTTCCACAATCCATTACAAATATGTGAATGCCCAATTAAACCACCAAGGTCACCAATTGCTCTGACTGTTGTACTGGACAAATGCAGTTCACACTAGTTTTCACCTTTAACTGAAAATAACTCTAGTGTAAACAGATTTAACTTTTAACAAATTACAAAGAAAATAAATAATTACTGTTCTGTGTCTTTAACTGTACCCATTTAAAACTCCAAATACATTCGCACTCGTCCATAATTTAATTTGACATATTAGTGGAGAGAAAATATAGATAGGAAAAACGAAATTCTGAAGTTCACGGGTGGGTTAAATCAGTTCCTTTTGATTTTGGCAATGATGATATGCTGTTCTCTAAAAAGAGGTAGTAGTTCTTTATTTCAATTGTTGATTTTTCCTTGTATTAGATTACTTTAGAAGTTTCTTAGTTTTGTTTTAATCTTTTCACTCAAATAGAGAGAAGGGAGAGAGGGATGTTTTCATCTGCTGGCTCTAGATATCTGTGTCTGCTCTGCACCTAGAATCTGGAACAAACTGCAGGTGGACCGAGCTGTTATCAGACAGTTTTTCCTCGACCGTGTGATTCTGGTCTCACTCAGTCTTAAAGCATCCATGTCACTGCATTGAAGCAACAATGCCGTGCATAACTAAAAATGTACGTTGCCTGATTTTTTCCAAGTTTGCAAAACTGTCTCCTGGTATTCCAACAGCAGTAATCCATTCTAGATTATTGTCCAAAAAGGAAAAATATGTGGTCCCTTCGGTTTTTATTTTAAAAATAGTGGTTTCTGGTTTCACATCTAAATAGTCCAGCTCTAGTTTTAGCATTATGCTTGCGTGCTCTGGATTTGCCCATTACAGGAAACAGTTTTTCTTCCTTGTTTAAATAAATCATTCCTCAACCACCTAAATAAATTCAAGCAAATATAAGCCAGGTTTATGCAACTTGTACTCAGGATTTACTCTTTTGATTGGAGAGGGGATTGTAGAGGTCATTTTGCCTTTGCTGAGGTTCAGTATCTTAATGAAATTATTTTTATTCTCTCATATTAGTAGTAGC